TCTAACAATCTGTCATACGATAATAGATACATTTGTCAGAAAAATAGTTATTCTTCAAAGCTTCTCAACACTTTGTATTGCCTATCATAAATTTCCCAACCCAGAAGAGATCTGATTTGTGTCTAGCAATCAATTAATACGTCTGCTCAGTATATTTTTATACTCACAAATAAATACTTTTATTTCGGCGTCTACACATACATTCGATAATCCGCGAATGGAATGAAATGTTTGGAGATGTGTCTTAGGCATACTTTCTATACTTTCCACAATTCAGAACGAAAAAGATCCTCTGAGATTTTCGGCTAGAGAGACAGAACTCAATTGTAGCCTGAAATTCGTTGAAAACGCAGATGCTCAGTTCCTCAGACATGATACAGTTGAACATCATTATTAGAAAGATACTCAAATCAATTTATCCGAAAGAATATGCACAAAATATTCAGTAATGTCCACTGTGTCTAAATGTATTCATCTTAGGTACTGTTCTAGATTGAGTCAATTCTCCATCTGATTACATGCACGTTCATCACACTTATTCCATGAATTTTGCAGTTATCATATACTGCATTTCAAACTTCTTAGCTAAGATAGTCACCTTATAGTCTTTCGCAATCCATGGCTGATTTAGATATGTTACATGGAGTGATGCCAGTTTAGTTTGATGCATAAGACCTGCTTGCTGTTTTACCGGTCTAATCTTTATTTCGAAATGCTGCAAAAATTGAAAACTACACAAACCAGATGTACTTATGTATTTCAATATACATTGTCAGGAAGTTTTTCCTTGCAATTTTCAGATACAGCATCCTGGAAGTAGTAAACTGATGTGAACATTATAAGCATTGCTAACCACATACAGAATGCTCGAAATATTATTGAACAATAAAATACATTATATGAGACACACAATCTCATTCGATTGATCGTCAGGAAAATGCACTGAAATATTAAAAAAAATTATTGAAAATATAATGAACTGTATAGATTGTTAGTTTGTCGGAATTTAATCAGTTTCAACTGTGATCATGGACTAAAAAACTGAGAGAACCACTGAAAATGAAATAGTTTTGGATAGCTGCTTCGCTCCACTTTGAGACTGTTTCGCTGTACGCCTTCAAACCCTACCAGGAATGGAAGCAAGGACCACCAGGTGATGAGGAAAACCTGTTGACTATTCAGTGACTTTGATGGTTTATAGTGGCGTCATCGTAGAGTGTTAGGCTTTACACTGGACCTGGTGGAGTCCACTTCTCATGACTTCTCACTAGAGTTGCAAATAACATCTTCCCGCAGTCAGTTTCCACTGAACTTCAGAAGATGTGACATTTTCTGCCCCGATGGGTTCATGTCTGCGTATTACTAAAGAGCACAAAAGTAAAACGTAATAGGTGTTCAAACCAACTTGGATTCCAATGGTTCTCTAACATATATCATCGATGTTGAAACTTGAACGGTTTTAATTCATTCTTGTACTGAAGGCACTTAATAATTTGCTGAATATTTACCTATTGTGTATACCTGTGTATATAAAATGTCACAGCTAGAACAATTCCAAGTAAAACGAAAATAATGAGGAACATTTTAAATTCTATTGTAAGTATACAACATTATCTGAAAGAAAATAAATCTTAAATTCGGGTTACTGCAAATATGATCACATGTCTAGATTTGCTTTTCAACTCTCATAATTTTGCAAGATGTACATCACGTCTATCTAGTGAATGTATCTTGCAGTCAATGTTTTGAAACCTCTGTACATTTTAACTGCTACCTGTATGTGATTTTATTTTATTAGATTATTATGACTGTTTAAGCTAAAACACTAAGCTGACTGAATAATGATCTAATGCAGATCATGAATCGCTTCAATAAACACTATCGTTCTCAATAAATCTTGAAAGGGTGATATCACCACACTACTTCCATACGCATCTTAGTGACGTTTGTCCTGTCAAAATTGTCTGTCTTCAAAATATTTTGACAGACAATGAGATCCTCATTTATAACAGTGAAATTTATCTTTCTGAGTAGTGCGAATCGAAAAAGATGAGTGGTGAATGCAACTGTCTTTGATGTACACTGTGCAATACCACGATATCTGTCTTCATTTTAACTACGTGATATGTACTGCTATTTCATTAGTTGGATTAAAGTGACAACAACCTTTACTGAATATATACACTCCCTGATATGGAATGAACCTGGGATTCAACAAAAGGAAAAGAAGAGGAAGGACTAACTCAGCTGAAGACAACAAAATTTTCATGTACCACCTACACATATAAAAATAAGCCATAATATTTAGACCAGCAGTGTTTAGCGAATAGATTACTACTTGAACTTACTAATATTGCGAAGAAAGTCACAGAAATGGACGTGGCTATTTTGAAAGGTATCTGAAGTTTCTATAAGAAAACAAATCGAAAGGAAATTACATTAATATAGAAAGGTATAAAGGAATCTGAATTGGAGCAAATAAGTCATCCATATTATGAATATATATGTAAAGCAAAACGAGTGGTTTTAGTAGAATACGATAAAATCGTTTAACTTTTGCATCTAATTCTCATCCGCCTTATACGGTTGAAAAGTCCTATTATTATTTACATTCACAAGGATATTCCATCTAAAGTGCTTTCATAGATAATATTGTGCCAGAAAAAAAAGGATTCGGAATTTAACAAAATGGTCTCACAACTTATACTTGAACAGCTCATACACTGAATAATCATTTAGAGACAGCTACGCATTGAGGAAGGAGTTACTTTATAACATGGTGACGTCGCCTCCATCAGTGTTTCCATTACATAACTCATTTTCCCCACACTGACCAATTTCGTTTCCAGAATTATCATTCAAAATTCTATGCATATGGTTTATATGCGTAGCTCTTGACCACAGTCTCCTGTAAACTCTTATTATAATACTCTCACAAACACGGTGGAAAAATATTTCGTATACGCCGTTGACGAGGAATAAACCAGGTAAGTGATATGATAAATATTCCACTCAAATCACTTCTTAGTCATCCCTTCTTACACCTTACATTACGTAATACAATTTTCTAAGGACAAAATTTACCAGTATCTGATTGGTCTAAAGATTTCTTTGTTAATTATAATTACGATTGTACAGCTCATGAAAATGAATCGTCGAAAAGAAAATTTTCTTCGCTGTTTGTGCCTTTTCTTATGACTCAATATGGGAATATTTCGTTCAAATCACTTCTGTTGCTCTATTGAAATGAAAAAAGGTGGATGAAAAGTTTCATTTCATTTCTCTTTTTAATTTCAAATGGTTTCGATAAACAAAACTATCGTCAAACGTTCTTGGGAGGGGAGCACGTATATGTCTCCGAATGTTTCACTCCAGGAAACAGCAGCTGAGTCACTTTGCAAAGTTTTGTTGGAAGTTAAAATCAACATATTCTTCTATCAGAACATTGTTATTGCCCTTCAGCCAAAGCAGACCTTTGTTTATGTCATCTGTGCAATTTCCCGGAAATACAACAATGTCTACCCGGGTGACATGAAGGATAAACATGTGTATTCACACGTAGTGTTCTCACTTCCTCTGGCTGCCTGGTTGCCGTTGCAATACAATAATTTGTCAGAATTTGTGGATTGTGAAGGGAATTTTACATCTTTATTCAAAAATAAGACTCAATGACCAAATGGAGGAGACTACAGAGGTGAAATTATCGAGAGATGGTCCTGGTTAACCTCTGGGTTCTTATGCTGAAATATTATTAAATAGACTAAAGTTAAACCCTCAAGTAAAGTTATATTCTGACATCCCAGTAATCTTAAAACTTCTACTATGCTGTTTCAGTTTATTTCTGCTAACCGATATAAACAATGTCCTGATTGGAGGGAACTTGATTTTCAACTTTTAACAAACATTAAACAAAATAATATCTCCATCCTATTTTATGATTAAAAAATCAACACTGTAAGAAAATTATGAATAATAGGCGGCTTTAATAAATACCTGACGTGATCTAAGATTAGACTCACAGACAGAGACTTAGTATATCTCATCTATCTTTTTAAATAATTACAATTTAAAACAGTAAGTCCCTTTTATAAATTTTGATAGCATTATTAGAAGACGGAGATTATCTGAAAAATGTGATGTATTAGCGCTATACATTTCAAAAAATCTGATCACACATTTACTTGTCAAGTCAATATATATGGAAAAGTTAAATTAAACAAGGTGACAAAAAAAGAACAAAGAATAATGAACACCAATCAAATATGGATTACCAAGGTAGGTTAAAAGTAATAACAAACTGTTTTTGAATACACAAGGGGGGCTTAAGTTTATGAATGGCTACAGCCTCAGCGTATTTCAGTAAACGTCCTTGACCGTTTTTATAGATGACCTTAAAGGCTGAGTTAACATCAACCTTATGGTTCATCTCGATTAAATGTTTAGCTATAGACGAAGTTGGTAGTCTGACACCTGCATCTATGGGCTTGTCACAATTCATCTGTTTTTCTAACCACTTTGGGATATGCTCTCCCACCCTCACGTGCAACGCGCGATTACCCCTCCCTGTGTGTGTATGTCCACACACACACACACAAATTGACTTGACTGCTAAGGATAAACATTCAAGAGCAGTATTATCCTGCATTATTTCTGATGTTCACAAGTCCATACTTGTTGTGGATTTTAAAAACATCTATTCAATACATGTGTTGTTACGACTGGATTAATTCCTTGCTGTGTCGCAAACTGTTCATTTAGTCACTATTATCTTACATTTGAATTATATATGAAACTTACTTCTTCATTGTGAAAAATGACTCCCAAAATGTACATGAGTATTCCAACTCCAGCGAAAACACATCCAATACTGAAGATAATCACAGTATACTCCATCTTGACAGTTCTGAACAGCAAACCCAAGAATGTCACAATCCCACTGACCACTACTGTGACAAGGAGAGATATGAGAGAGCAAAACACCTGAATATACAGAAACGCACCCGCGAAGCCAAAAGAGATCAGTAGATACTAGAAACAGATGAAGAATTGTATTAGTAAGTCGTATTTAAGAATGCGTAAATTTAGACATATCAGTTCAATGGTGAGTTGCATACAATAGAATTGATCAACTGTCGAAACAAATTTTTTTTTCATTAAATCCGATGATACTGACATATTCTTCTAAGGTAGGAAATATGTAACTAAAATCCTCCACCACTGACATTACCTGACAATTAGTATACGGCAAAACATTCTCAATACGTGTTCAAAGTTGTATTCCTAGATGTAAGCTACAATACATGTAATAAATGAGTTATTTCTCAAGAACTTCATTACAAATGCTTTAAATCAATTAACTCTTAACACAGTCAAATGACAGAAAAGCTGCCTGACATTATCATTGACTTCATGAATGTCATCATAGAAGATCTCAAATCACAGCAAGCATGAAATCTGGTATTTCAAGGACAACACAATTTCGCCCAATGGAGATAGTGCCTTATTCTGAGATGTATTTAATACCGCACAGATTAATCTACCTAGAAATTGATTGAGTGACTACAAGTGCAAAACCTCTGCAATAAGGACTGACTATCTAACAGACTGACTTCAGTTCTCACTTTTTGGACCTCCAAAAGTTGCGCCAGTGAAGCTAAGTTGAAGGAGCAAGGAGAAATGTGTCACTGGATTCTGATTCACTAAATGTGTTAAATCTGTGTGACATTTCCTTGTCAAAGTGACACACATCTACAACCTGAAATCAACAGAACGCACGTATGAAGTAACTTCAAGTCGTTTGTGCTTTCTCTTCAATAAACTGAGTTAACGTCTATCTAGAGAATGAGGGGAAAATATGAGAAAATGAAGTGAGCTCACTTACACTGATTACGATCAGAAGATGATCAACCACATTTTCGTATTTAAATTTCCTGACTAATATGAGAAGTAAATTTGTCAGTATTCCGAATAATCTGAAAAGCAATTTGTACACGTCAGCATAATGATGATTACAGCTTGCGTATTCAACACAGTAAAAACAACAGCAAGGAGATAGTCGTTAGTTAGATAGAAGCTGGGTTGCCTTTCCAGAAGAAACCATTAGACCAAAGTGAGAGAAGATATGTCATGAGTCAATGAGTTACGTTAAGAGTGAACGTTTATCACTACTTCACGTAGAGATAATATCCAAAGAATTGCACGATGTTGTGGGTTAATCATTGAGCTACCCAATTTTTTATCCAAAACAATGCACAAAACAATGGAGTACGTCTATCTCCCGACAAATGTACTCACGCACATTTTTAAATGGCTTTCGATAAACTTCAGTGCATTTCCTGAAAACGGATATAAACGTAACATACGAGATTATCTTACTGCGTCAAATGAGTTACCTTGTGTTACTATTTTAATGTAGGACCCTGGATGGAGAGAAAATTTTATATTTATATATATATATTACATTGTGAATTCTGTACGTTGCGTAATTACTTTTGTCCATAATGAAGCTATTAATAATAAAGATTACTAAGTAGGATTGAGAACTATATTTGATGTGAATGTTGTCATTTCTTATGTGTCTTTATGTTTCCTAGCCTCATCGGACCACCACATTCATAGGTGGCTCCATCCGCATTTATTATTCCTTCGTACTGAGTGAATAATTGCATGAGTTACGGTGTTTCCAGATGTGAAATCCAAACGACAACACAGAGAGTGCAGAAATCAGAAATTCGTAATGTTGAATTACTCACTAGTATTCGTTGCATCAGTGACAATGCAGTCAGCAGACGAAAATGTGATCAGTGTCAAGATGCATATGTTGGCGGTGATAATCAAACAAAAGTCACCAGATAAAGACAAATGATAATTCAAAGTTTTGAAAGAAGTAATACATTGAGTGAAATCGAATGAGCCTCAGTGGTTCAGTGAAAGAATTTTAGTCAAACAAACACACATAGTCCGAATTGCTTTCTGGACGACAGGCTCGTTCTCAGGCTAGGTAAGTTAAGTAGCTAGAAAAGAAGGAGGGTTAAGCTTTTGGCTTGCACACCCCATAAGCCACAGAATTGTTAGTGAAACTGTGAGTCTAAGTAGTTGAAGTGACAATGTTCTACTCGGAAGATACATGTTATCAACAAAAGATCCACAAAAAGAGGGCGCCAGTCAAAAAACATCTTGAAAATATTGACTTACACGAACAAACCAGGTGCTTTATTATGCTCAACAAACCAACCAGTGATTATTTCTCTACAGCATACAAGATTATCAATATTTTATAATACTCAGTTTCACGCCTTACGAATTTCTCACCATTAAAACCATGCATACAGTCCCCAAAACAAAACACAATGTATCGACTAACATCTGCATCAAACATTATAGGGACACTGAATATTGGATTTGTGTTTGCTCACCCAAATAAAGTAGAATAGATATCGGCTTATTTTTGTATGAAAAGGTGATTCTTTCAAACTGATAAATGTTGAACACTGTTCCAGCATATTTTGTTCACTGCAAATAATTCACGGATGATGATGAAAGTAAAAGTAAAGGAACTCATTGTAACAGTGTACATAAAACCAAATGTTTAATAAGAGAACATACGTGAAACAGATTATATGAGTCTAATTATATATGCAGACACATCGAAACACTTCGTACTGGACTACACAATGTTCACGAAATAAATAAATAAATAAATATTTCCTTAAATTACTGTCATTAAGGCAGAAAATAACACGGATCAGCTGTGTGACAAACAAAGTAAAATGAACGACCTGAAAAATGTACTGCTAAATTTGGTGGATTAATTCATTCTGTGAAGGATCCAATCTACTTTTGATTTCCGCGGTTTCAGAAAACATGTATTTTGAACAGTCGTTGTCATGCAGGAACATCAATTTGTTAGATCCACTGATATGCTGTTTTCAGAAATATGATGGATAATGGTGGAAATGTAATTCTTTATATACGGCATATCCATATACTAATATATGACACCAAGAATCTGTATGACACTGAGTTTTGTGGAAGTCTGGATTTACAATCAAATGTTTGTTATGTACACTGTGAATTTGACCCTTCTTAGATTGCCAGCTCTCTTACACAAGTGTATAAGCTTTTTGACAGTACCGATTACGAAGTACATCATAATAACGCTAATGATAATGACACTACTTACCTATTACAGTTTCAAATTTTATATTTATTGTAAAATCAGATTAAATGTGTATTCATATACCATCTTAAAAATTTCTAATTGATTAGTTTCATTGAACTTTGATCATGGAGAAATAACATGGTTTCACAACAGCTTTTATTGTGTATGCATGTATGGAGTGTCTAGATTCAATCCACACTTCACTGAATGTTATATCGATCGTTGTTTTCATTGAATATTCATCAAGTGCCATTCTTTCCTAAAGTTTCTCAGAAGCAGCTCACATCACATTACGTCTACTAACACATATGAACCTCAGGTATCTACTGGCCATTGCAAATAATATTCCTTTATGCTGAATGTGTTGATACTGTTGCATAAAGGCCATCTCATTTGTATTACACTCCCTGACCATGTGTGCTTATGACGTGGTCAAAGACCTCAGAATGTGGTAGGTTTCCGATTTTGTGGAGAAGGGTTTCAGAAATAGGCAGCATGAAACAGTTTCAATCCGTGGATGCCATATGACAATCAAAAAATTATTTGTGCTTGTTTACTTAATAAGATCATCTTGAAGCCTCACAGGGTAAACGTAGTTGTCTAAAGATGGATCATACATCCATCTAACTTGACGACAAGTGATCTTTCGAAACCAACTTTCTTTTAGAGATTATCAATACTGTCATAACACAACAGATTTTTTTCATTTTCTTGAATCTGCTGATCATATATCTATCTTCGGATTTTTGTGACCTCATGCTCCGCATCCTATCAAATGCTTGTATTTGTGTTTTCACGTGAAACAATGTGGATTGTGTGAGGTGTGTAAAGGAACTCATTGTGAAAGCGTACATAAAACAAAATGTTTAATAAGAGAACATACGTGAAACAGACCGTATGAGTCTAATTATGTATGCAAACACATTGAAACAATTTGTACCGGACTACACAATGTTCAGGATAGAAACATATATGATGTCAAGTTCAACCAAAATAATGTCAAACAATCGAAGAACATGTATCCTTATGTGTAAGGATTGCATACTGCCAGGATACTGAGAAATTTGTGGGTGAGATGTAGTCGATTAGACTAAAATTTCACTAACATAATCCAGACAACCACGTCACGTACGACTTGATGATTCCTACTCATCCTAGTTTCTTTGAACTTATAGTAGCAGTACTAGTAGTGATGTGTATTCGAGAAGTTTAATTTTAAAGCAAACTGACATCTGTGGAGCAGCTGACAAGATTTTACAATTTCGTTCCCATGGAAAGATGAAGTAGTTAAAACCGTTCCCTTTGAACTCGCCTCCAAGGAATTCGAAGTGAAGACAGTGTTGATGAATAAATTTGACAAAAGATGGAATTATTCGTGGAGAATGGATATTCAGTATGATTTGTCAAGAATAATAGTGCATTATGTGAAAGATATACAGTGTGGAATAATGTTAGTTAGAATGTCATGCATGTTAACTAGGCGTTAGATATCAGTTTGAGTCTACACATATATGACACGAGTCCAGATTGTGTGATGATGACTGACACGATATTCAGCTGATAGATAAATGAGTGGTGAGTGGAAGAACGAGGTGACACGCTGTTGAAATCCTGTGTAAATATACACTTTTCTTGATGCCAGGTATAACGGATAAACCGAATAAATCTCATGTCACCATAGACTGTACATTCAGCTCTTTGCTCCCCATCCCCATTAAGATCGATGCTTTCAAATGTCAAGTCAGTTGAGAGTGTCCTAACCAAATAGCACAGTCCATCTCAATTTGAATTTGCATCTTTGTTTGAAGATAGGTTGTTGGCTTGTTCAATTTCCATCAGTCTTCTCTTTCAGTCATCATCCATTCACACTGATCGGTCGATCACCTCTACTTCACATTTCATCATGCATTCAGATGAATATTGAAAGTGATCACTGCCTGCTACTTCACTCATCACAATCAACCACCAAACAAAATTCATTCTACCAACCATATTAGTGTTTCTTATGAGAACATAATTTTACCATACTCGTATTCCTTAGATAGTGTTTGTGGAATTCTACATCAAGACGGATTGTGCGGAAGTGGGAATTTATTGGAAATAATTGTTCTCGGGGAGATCTTTATCTATGAAAATGTAATCATTTATGTGCTCAGCCCTCCTGTCGTTGTAATTAACATTTCATCTGACTTGGACCCTTCATTTTTCGTCTTCAAATGCAGACTGATCTCAATTTGTGGCAAATTTTTATTTCAAAATATATCGGCTACTTAAATACACGCTATGAGTAGATTACATATAGAGATGGCTGTGACTTATAGTTACACCTGGCGTGTAATCACGTCTCTACAGAAGCATTTACGCTATTTAGTGTGAGCGGAAAATTGTTCGAAGTGAATAAAACTGCGAATTAGGATTTTATTTTATGGAATTTGGTTTTAATCTGGCCATACATGGTCGCATCATGTGACTTATATGATAATGAAGTGACCAACCAACAACCTATTGCTTAAGTGATGTGCCAAAATAAAATGAAGATGGAATGAAAACACTCTCAGGATACTGTCAAATGACATAGTGACCCAGGTAATCTCTTGAGCAGAACCTGAACAGGAAAGGACGATTAATACCCATTTAGTCATGAAGAAAATTTCATTTTTTTAGACTTTGTTGAAGGTCTGAACATGTAGATGGAGTATGTGATAATCTTCACACTCTTTTCAAACAAAGTTCATTCATGTTCTAGATTCACCCTTAATAGTATAATCAACAGTTTGATCTACACTCCGTGGACATCTTGTGACAAAGTTAGATATAACGTGGCGTGCGGTTAAGTTTACGCGATATCTGAAAGAGACTAAAGGAAATCTTCGTAGAAAGCCATCAAAAGAATTTCGTACAAACAAAATGTTAAAACGCCTCCAACGATTAAGTGAAGTCAATTTGCATAGATTGTAGTAAGTTAGGAAATTCACGAAATGATGAACAACGATCTCATAACATTCTCATCATTCTACTGCACAATACGTTGTTGTCAACCTCCTTAAAGTGAATCGTCTAAAATTCCGTATTTATTTTTACCTTCAGTAATTTCACTGACATTACTAGATGATTGGTGTTATTCTGATGTAAAACTGCATATATAAGCACAGGAACGTTGATGAGGAACCAAAACAGAAATGAATATGTTTGTTATTTGTATAAACAACTGCCCGGTCACGTGTAGCAATTTCAGTAGACTCAGTAATTACCATTCTAACCATACCAAGTATTTTCCTATGTCCCTTCACAAATATAATCATTTTGTAAAGAACTGTATCTTGAGTCTTTGGTGCGATTCATGTGCAACTGTACAATGAGATGTAGAGATTGGCTTCTTGCACTGATACCACAACACGTCACTTTTAATCATTACAGACACCATCCAAATTTCCGATCCATTTACACTCATAATCCGACAAAATAACACAATTTCATTATTAAATACCTAACGTTTATATAATAAATCTAACACGGAACTATCTTTTGGTTCCGGTCTTATTTATAAAGAGATAATTCACCCAACTTCTCAGCGTTTACGAAATGTAATCACATCTTTGAAGACTTTCCTATGGTCATACGCATCCTGGGATGGTTTCCAACTTATAATTATAGGAAGAATATCTCAAAGGTGTTTCCTGTGTTTTGCATTTGAATTCACTGTGTCCACTGATTAACTGCTCATTTGTATTTCAACCTCACATCCTTCTCATCAGGTGCATATCTGCTTGTAAAACACCTTGTATAAACATAGTATCCTAAACAGACTGTTCACATTGTCTTATTCGTTGAACTTTTCAACGTGAAATGAGATGCACAGATTAATAACACTCTACTCATGTTACCCATTGTTGAATATGGTTGGTAAATCAGTCTACAAAAAATAACACTTCTAAGCACTACGTGTAATATTTCTGGTCATGATTCAAATTATCAATTCAAAATGTATGCGGCTACTTTAATTAACTCATTATTGGAAACACTTCAGTGTGAATTGTAGTCTTCTTTAACAATTAATAAAAACACTTTACAATGAATGTGATAAACTATTAATCAAAGTTTTGAGAATCAAATGGACATATTAACACTTTAGTTGAGGATTTATATGAGTCAATCATATAAGATTTAGCGTTAGATAACAGCTTTTTCACAGGAAAGCACTTGAGTTCAAATCATCTTCCGTTACTATCATTTTCTAGTGAGTATTGGCAGTCTCAAAGGTTCCGTCCGTCACGTAATCTAATGATACCAGATTTCATGATTCCATGGTTTATGAGGTTTAATAATTGATATTATCATAGA